AATTATCATTACGTCCTTAGGCCATGTTTAGTTTGATGTAATCAACCATGTAATGGAATGGAGATTACATTACATAATTGATTACATTGTGTGATTATTGTTTCTAAATCTGCATGAAAATTGAAATAAATTTCTATTGTTTTAAAAATTAAAAAGGCTATGATTAGAAGTGAGCAATTTGGAACTCAGTTATTTATCAAACTTGTTGTTTGAAAAAAATTATTGTGTATTGCTTTGACCAAATAAAATGAAATAAATTATTTATCTTGTAGTAATTCACATCTTGCTGACGTTAGTTTCATATACCGAATATATGATTCCACAAATAAAATGATTCCACAATAAATATTAAGTTATTATGTCAAACTCCAAATTCTATAATTTATTGTTTTCATATAAATAAAATAAAGTATGGAACTGAAGGGATTTCAAATTATTGAATATATATTATATATATATATCTTTATATATATACGCTATTATTTCTATTATTTAATATTTTCATTTGTCAAATATGAAAAAATGATTTGAGGTGATGCTGATGGTGGAGTGGTGTTTGAGGTGGTGGTGGTGGTGGAGTGGTGGTTGTGGTGGTCGAGTGGTGGTAGAGTGGTGAAGAAGTGGTGGCGGTATGTTTGGTGGTGGTAGTATTTTAATTACATTACATTGCATATTTATAAACAAACATAAAATGGAATGGTAATTACATTCTATAAATTTTCTCAATTACATTACCAAACATATTAATAGAATCTTAATTACATTATATTACATTCCTTTAAATTTTCTCAATTACATTACCAAACATATTAATAGAATCTTAATTACATTATATTACATTCCTTTATATTTTTCATTGCATTACATCTTTGATTATATTGCATTGCATTACATCCAACCAAACATAACCTTAGATTTTTTATTAATTATAAATTTGAGTCTCACTATAAATAGACGTATGATATAATTAATTAACCATAGTCCACATTTAATCCATTTTTAAGGTCCCAATTCCATTAATATACTTAATTGTACAAATGTCACATGTCCATAATTTAGATGTTTTTAATTAAATCCTATATTTACATGATTAAATCCTTAATTGAAATACCCCGAATTTTTATTTTCGAAACTTTTAAATTTTTATTAAATCAAAAATCGCAAATTTTGCCCACGTGAGCTGCAAATGTAACACAGTCAAAATTTGAGCCCAAATTTTTGAATTGGGCCAAGCCGAAAAACTGATTATCCGGAATGTTCGATTAGAGAACACTAAATATTTTGATGAAATAAAATGGAACACTAATTATTAATAGATTATAAATGTATGTATATTTATGTAACTATTATAGAAATTAATTATCCTAAAATCAAAAAAAAAAAATCATTAACTGTTCATATTTGATTAATATTGAGTAAATGGAGCAAATATTATGGAACCGAACTAAATACTCAAAATAAATCGAACTGGGCCTGAAAATCAATTAATTTTTTGGAAACAACACGAATACTCTGAAAAATAAGTGAAAAATCTGAAACCGAGCAAGAATCGAGCCAAATCGTTGAATCAGATCAAATCGATTCGAATCGAACCGGAATGATCTAGAAACCGACATCGAACCGGAATGATCTAGAAACCGACATTCTTTCTTTTCTTTTCTTCTTCTTTTCTTCTTCTTCCTTCTCCAGCGCGCGACAGCTCTCCCTCCTCTCCTTTCCGTTTGCCGGCCAAACGGCCATCGTCTCAAGCAAGCAAGCACTCTAATCACAAGAGCTCAACGAGACAATCACTCTAGTGGCCTTGGTTTGAGCGATGAGAGCCTGAAGCGAGAGAGATCGCGACTAGCAGGCCGCGTCACCATTCAATGGCATTTTCCGGCGAAATCTCATCAATTTCGTCGACTTCAAGTGCTGGGGTTAGTCTCAAACGACTCCTCTCCTACATATGAACCTTTCCCCTCCATTAATTTGTGATGTTGTTTGCGTTTTGATGAACCACCATGGACGGCAGCTTGTAGGTGGCTGTGGAGGTCAATCCGGCCAAACGAGCCACTGGCTCAACAAAGTGATAGCAGATTTGGATTCCTCATGAAAATTGGAGTCGGGTGGTGGTGACCTTGGTCGGAGGTGACCTTGCAATTTTTGGTGCGGTCTTTAGCCGGTTTTCGCCCACCAGAAGTGACAACCGGCCTGCGCGGTCCGCGGCGAGGACTTAAGAGGGCAGAATTGCATCTCCTCTTCGCCACGGGTCCACGGAAAATTCAAAATCCGAATTTCCATCGGTACATTTGTAAGGCACTTAGTTGCTCCATTTTTCCCTTTTTTGGGTATAAAAACTTTACAACTTGAATTAATTAATTACATTGGATATAAGATTAACGCACTGAATTAGTCAAAAATTGGCAAGGACTTATGTAATCTTAAACAATATCAAATAATTGAAATATAGAACATTGTATGTAGAATCGGACTTCTAGGTAGTTAATGGATAATAAAGACTTTCACAGAAGATAAAAATGTTAAATTACACAATTAGCAATCAAATTAATACGTAGATATTGTAAATTATGATTAATTAAAATTATGATTAATTAAATTATAAAAGGAAAATAACAATTAAAGTACATTGGTGGTATAAGTCGATTATATTGTAATGTGTGATTATTAGGACAGTCCGATAGGTAGAGATGAGTAATGTTGGAATTTTCGAAAAAAATAATTATTAAAGAACTGGACTAGTTAAAATATTAAATGGGAATAATTAAAATTTTTAATATAACTAATACCATTGACTAATGTTGCTCATATTATCGTTATTATGGAACATTAAATTACTAACGACACTTATATGAAAGAGATAAACAAATAAACCAATAAACAAGAGTACTGAATTTATATAGTATAATAAAGTAAATACCGGCTTTAATTATTTAGCGAATAAGGATTTAATTTCTTGAATTAGAATTCTGACTTAGAATTTTCCTTCTAGATGCTTGTGAAGTTCCAGAACATCAAAATCAAAGCTGAGAGCAGGCAGTAATCAAGATAGTCCTTTAAAGGACAATAATAAACTGTGAGTAGTGTTAGATAATTCGCCTCATCCGCCTGCATTCATGCATTCACGGCTAAATGTTATCATGCATAAGTGCCATATTGTGATGCACTATTTGTTAATATTAAATATTGCTTGATTACTTGTGATGTGATATTGTTGTGCCTTGTTTGTGTGGAATTGGGATGAAGTGGGTCACCATGGGTTTGTGAGAATGGTGCCTTGTTTCGTGTGGAAGTTGGGGATTGAAGTGGGTCACCATAGGGTTTTGTGAGAATGGTATATGTGATATGGGATACTCTGTTATGAAAGTGAAAATTTGGTAAGCTGGGTAAGGATGATGTAGAGCCGGAGCCACGTGGAGTTTGACAGCTAGATGTTCATGATCTGTATGAAATATGAAAAACCCAGGATGGGCTTCTTGTTGTTAGGCAACCTGATAATCTAGATTTGATTGAAGCCCGCAGGGTGGCCTCCTGTTGTGAGCACTTGATAATCTAGATTGGATGGAGACCACCGGGTTGCCTCTTGTTGGCATTTTTTTTTAAAAACAAAAACAAAGAGAGAGAGAGACTAGAAAAGTAATCAGAGGACCGACAGTGTGAGGATTATACCGATCAGCCAGAATAGGGGATTGGCTCCCTGGTGCACATGTGAGTGAATGGGCCATGTGGGAGGACGGCTCATCGAGTTTAAGTGACTCCACTGACTAATTTCAACGTGATATGATTATATGAAGGTGATAATAACTGTGTATGAAGGTGATAATAACTGTGGATTGGCTGCCTTCGTCGTACATTGGCCCATTCTGTGTGAACAAATTGCATTAAATCATATAATTAAGACGGGTGACCACATGAAAAATATTTTAGCTTTGTATGATTGGTCGTTGGGGTGAGAGGGGTTATCTATCTACTCACTGAGTCTATACTCACCGCCTCCCCCTCCAACCTCCCCAGGTAAATAGATGGAAAGAAGAACCCTGGAGTCCAATCAAAGAAACGAGATACGGATCGATAGGAAGTAATAATCATTGTAATCGGAATATGTTATAATGCAAAGAATAGTGAAATTATCGAAGTAGAGTTTCCGCAAATTGCATTATTCCAACTGGGTTGTAAATGATAAATAGAGTATAGACCATTTATTAGCTTTGGATTGTACTTTGGATATAATTATGAAATAAATATTAATAGGGCATGTGGGCATGAATCCACAATTGTGAATAGAATGCGAGTTTTTAAGTAATACAGGCTTACTACGGGCTTCGGGGGCCTTAAGCCCACCCAGGTCCTAATGCCAGTCCGGTCCATGAAAATGGATTGTGACATTAATAGCCCATTAATTAGTCAAATAGTGCAATAATCCTCCAATCCTTAGTAGAGGTCTTGTAAAATTTCATTGAAAAGTATCATGCTTCTACAGATTAGGTACGAAGTAGAAACGGAAAATAGAAACCCATTTTGTATAGTTGCTAATATTTTTCCACATATTTTGTTATATCTGTGTCTAAATTTCTTATTATTTATTTAAAAATAATATATTATGAATTAAGTAAAATTTTGAAAATAATAGTTGGAGTAAAAATATAAATACTTTAACCCAATATTGCATTGAAAAATTTGGTACTATTTTCAAGTTCAAGTTATTTTAATTTTATTTTTAATTTTTAAATATTTTTTAACTCTTGTTGGTATTTATATGAAGGGAAAAAGTAATCCAAAAATTTGCTCATCTTAATTTAATTTTTAAAATAAAATAAAAACTTAAAAAATCTTAATTGAAATGATAATTTTTATTTTTGTTGATATTTGTAAAAAGGAAAAAAGTAATCAAAGCCTTAATTATTTTGATTAAAAAAAAAAAAAAAAAAAAAAAATACAAAAGCGGCTTTAATTATTTATGATTAAAAAAAAAAAAAAAAAAAAAAAAAAAAAGGAACTTAAAACTGCGTCATTTAGCCTATCTATCAAATCCCTAGGTCCTTCTAATCGTTCTTCTTATCGATTGATGTCAGGTGACTTCCCATCTTTGTTCAGAAGTAATAGGAATGTGACTTCCCTCAAGTAAGAGACCCTGCTTGCTTATCAATCACAGAGCTCTAGTTCTCCATCCATCTTAAGCAGCAAATCGCCATTTTTTTACTGGTAAGCTTACTTTCCCTTTTTTCCCTTTTCCTCTTTGTTTAGTAAACGCCTTGAAAATCTGTGTTTGAATTTGTTTATAATCTGTGTTTGAAAATATTCCTTTTTCTCTTTAGTAGAGGTCTCTTTACATGCAGAGCCTCTTTTCTTTTATTTTGTTCATAATCTATGTTCTTTGCATTTTTCTCATAATTTGAAAATCTGTGTTTGTTTGCAATTAGCAAACATGCAATGATATTAGCAAGAGTTTATGAGAATGGAATGATATTAGCAAGAGTTTATTAAATCTGTGTTTGTTTCTACGAAGGAATTGAGGATGCTGGATTGTATGGTTGGATATTAGCAAGAGTTTATTAAATCTGTGTTTGTTTCTACGAAGGAATTGAGGATGCTGGATTGTATGGTTGGCCTCCATCTCCATAGACTCTGTTTCTATCTTCTGTTCAGTTTTCTATTTCCAGCTCTAAATGCATCTACTAGTACTTCCTTTATTCTACCTTACATTTCATTATTCATAAGAGTTACACTATGAATTATGAACCATAGACAATGTAGAAACATAATATACAATCTTATGAAACTCCAAACTTAAATAAGTAAGGAATATTGTCAACAAGAAAGTAGTAACAATTGGTGGATATCAATTCTACATAGTAAAGCCAAGCTTGTCGCCAATATGGATTTATATATAAAACTGCAATTATTCCCAACAAAACTATGATGTAAGATACCACAAAGCTCACATAGAAAATATCCATGTCGATGAACCCACTATTGTGATCAATTGAATTTATGGGCATTGGTGATGAAGGTATTGTTGCATAACAAGCTTTTGGCAGTGGTAATCCACAGAGGAAAGGATTTCCCTCATAGCTGCCTTCATCAAATGTTCCAAATTGTGCAACTCTTGTAGGTGTCTTACCAGATAAGTTATTGTGTGCTACACTGAAAACTTCTAAAAAATGTAATTGAGTAATTTGAGAAGGAATTTCCCATGTAATTGATAAGCATAATTTGAGACAGGAAATTTTCAGCCCCCTCCAAATTGTTGTCAAAAAAGATCTAAAGATCGTCGATTTGCCTCAAATTTGAAAAATGTTTGTGGATTGGATCCGGGTTCACAGACTATTGTGTGGGATAGATTTTAAAACATTTTGAATTGTATCAACGATCTCCAATTTGCAAATGGAATCTCTCCAGAAAAATTTATTACAAGAAAGATCAATCCCCAGGAAAAAAAATATTGGAGGTGTGCTTGGTTGATAAGAATGAGATCCTTTCTTGTTTTGTAAATCTCCAAGGTTGTCGAAGTCAGGAGGAAATAGCCATAGTAAAAGGGTTTTATTTGCAGGTCCTTTAAGACCAAGCACTACTAAGTCTCAGACACAGGGAGAATATGTACCAAAAAGAATTATTATGGAGAGATCAAATGAAGCTTAGCTTATTATTCAAGTTGGCATAAATCTGAGTTGGAATTACCACCCTCCTTATAGAATGATTACTACTTAACTGAAATGTACCTCAATTTTAGAATTTTGGCAAATCCTCATTGGAATTTTTATCCTATTAAGTTATTAATGGCTAAGATCTAACGTAAGTAATGAAGGAGTCACCATTGAACCATCGGACTCAAAGATGCTTGGCAGTTTATTTTGACAAGTGAATTTCTGATTTTTATTTTCGCAAGGGCAAAAATTAGATGGTAAAGCTTCTAGAAATGATTGTTTATGGTGAAAGATCCTAAATTGGTCGAAGAGGACGACAATACTTCCAGTCCATGTTTTGTGGGATGCTATCCAGAGAGATTCGGTTATCACGTGGACATCCACAATATAAACTCAATGAAAGTTGCATTAAAACAAACTATTGGTAATAATTTTCCATTGAAAAACAAACTATTTGGTATATTTCCATTGAACAGATTGCCATCTAATTGTAACCATTCAAGAAATTCCAAATTAACATTTTTGGAAAATATCTGTCCTTGCAAAGTGTTCTTTGAAAGTTTGAGTTCTTATAATGAGATACAACCTACGGTCAATTGCTCAGGTATACTTCCTGACAATCTATTGTCAGATAAGTCCAAACGTACCAAAAAGCTCATATTTCCAAATGAAGGGGGAATATTCCCATTCAAACCATTTCCCCTCATGTTTAAACCCATTAATCTTGACAAATATGTCCCAATTTTGTTTGGGATGGATCCATACAGACTATTGTCAGAAATATCCAAGAATAACAAATTCGGAAGAGAATGAATAGGTAACTGGAATGGCCCTAAAAGAGAATTGTTGGCCAAATTGAGTACCCTTAGTTTTGTGTTGTTGCCTAATAACCAGAATGGAAACTCTCCTCTTATTTTATTGTTTGATAGATCAACATATCGCAGATTATACTGATAATAGAGGAACTTGGGAATTTCTACACTACCATATCCATGGCCAGACAAGTAGAGACTCTCTAATTGAAACTTTGGAGTGAACTTATGAGCCTCTATTATGGCATATATGGTGTTCAGTTGACAATCCAAAAAATTGAGATTTGAATGGTTGAAAAATAGAGAGAGTGAGATTGGGATTTGGAAGATATTATCAGAGAGATCTAGATATTCAAGGGATGTTAATCTCGTAAGAGGAGATGAAGCAATGTCTCCAATAAAGTTATTATGAGAGAGAGAATTTTTTGAGGGATGTCAAATTTGCTAGACACCATGGCAAACTACCATTGAGATAATTGAAAAAATTTTTTTGACACCATGGCAAACTCCATGCAGATATTTAGTGGACTATATTACTCTAGCAGAGAACGTTCATTTGCCATAGGACTTGAATAATTTGAAACTTTTGCAACAAAAAAGAAAAAATTTATAAGAATAACTTTGGATTATAGTCTTACGGAATTCCTCCATATTATCTATTAGATAAGATGAGATGCAAACGTATGTTCAAAGGCGAGAGCAAGTAGCTTGTTTCTCGAAACCTATTTAAAAAAAAAAAACTTTGGTTAGTTACAATTCTAATTTATTTGAAAGAGATGATACAAGGGAGAGCCAGAGACTGTTGAACATACCTTGATCAGTAGGTATGGGTCTAGTAAGTCGACAACCAGGTAATAATAAAGTTTTAAGATGCCTCATTATTCCAATGTCTTGTAGACCAAAGCTATTGTTGATAGCAGAATAACTCAAGTCCAAATACTCCAAATTTTTGAAATTAAGTAAACCTATAAAAATTCAAAAAGGAGTGTGTGAAAATATATTGGAATTTTTTGATAATTTTAAATATGAGAGATTCTTTTACTGATCTAAGCTCTTTTTTTTTTTTTAAGTGTCTTTGAACAGAGAGACATCTTTTGTAGTTAATTTAATCACCTCCAGTAGGTACGGATCCATTCAGCCACCTTAAAGACAAAAGCTTAACAGAAGGCATCATTGCTCCAAGGCTTTGAAGGAAGTTGTCATCCACATTAATAGAATAATCCAGGTACAGCTCTTTCAAATTAGTGAAATTACCTATTGATTCAAATGAAACACCAAATGAATATTTAATAAGCATTGAGAAACAAATTACTTTCACATAGATATATGTAATTCTGCTTAATAAGAAAGTAAAACTAATTACGTCATGAATTACATAAATTTTAAATTAAATTACTTGAAATTAAATCATAAAGAATACTTGAAATTAAAATCATAAAGAAGGAGGAAAATAGGAAAATAACCTTTCAAATCGAATGCTCTTTCCAACTGGTTGTCTCCTATATGCAGCTTTTTGAGAGATGAAAGCCCTTTTAGGAATGATAGAGTAAAGAAATTATAACTCAGGTCAAACACTTTTGAGGAATAATAGAAAGTTGTTAATTAAGAGATCAAACTGTTAGATATTAGTAAATAAGAAAACAAAATATATTGTACCATGGTAAGAATTGAAGCCATCGATTTCATTGTAACTTATATCCAATTCTATCAAATTATTTAATTCTGCACATCTCAACACACGTCAGTGTATATATATATTCTTAATAGTTTGAGACGAAAACAAAAAGTTAGTCCTTCAAATTAATAATTAAAAGAAATAATTAAAGCCTTCGATTCTGCTGCCTCTTATTAATAGTTTGAGGCAAAATGGAAAGAAGAAAAAAAAAAAAAGGTGAAGTTATCACCTGGCATATTAATTATTGAAGTTATCACCTGGCATATTAATTATTCCTTCCAATCTATTGTGAGATAGATTTAAGTATTTCAAAGATGAAAGACCACCCAGCGATGATAAGATACTATTGCTTAATCAATTCTCTTTCAAATCAATAAGTTCCAAATTGGAAAGTGTTGACAACCTTTCAAAACCTGCATATATGAAACAACATTTTAAAAATGTACATAAATTTAATTATTTTGAATCATTAATTAATGATAAGATAAAAGGACCTTCATTCTTAACGCAATCAGCTATACCATTTCCACTTAAATGAAGATACTTCAATTGTTGAAATGGAAGAAACAAAGAGACATTTAGGTAAAAATCATTCTGTAAAGACCGATCCCTCATGAATGAAAGGTAGAATTTTGTAACTCGACCAGTAATTTCATCGCACTCAATGCCTTCCCAATTACAACAGGCAACACTATCTATCCTCCAAAAATAAGGAAGAAAAGAAGGATTGAAGGAAGACGTTATTTGCAATAGTGCAACTCTTTCTTCCTCTAAACACCCATCACAACTCTCTCTTAAGAAGATTAAAATCACTAATATCCAACAATACCTCTTAATAATATCCATTTTTAATACTTATCTTCAACTCGCTCTAGCTTGTTATATATAGAGAGGAGTAGCAAAATGGTCCATGACGTGAAAAAAGGTGTTGAAAAAATAAATGCATGTTGGAGAATCCTTCAGCGAAGTTTCCTCCATCCATCCAATTACATTTTTATATTTTATTTAAAAAAATTACAAAAAGTTAAACTAACCATTCTATAAAACTCTTTTTTTTGAATATTTTTGACTCCTAAAATTTAACCATTCTAATTTTTTTAGATACTTTATAAATTAAAAAAAAAATTAAAATTTGAAAAATCAATGAGAGGCCTCCAATTCAAAATTCTATTCTCTCGTTCTTGATTTTTTTTTTTTAGAAAAAAATATTTCCTCTCAAAATTTTAGAAAAAAATATTTCCTCTCAAAATTCTAGCTAAGGCAACCCTTATATTGCAAAAACTTTTATATTAGAACCATAAAATTACATAATTTAACATTCGTTATAAAGATAATCGTTTGCAGAAAAAGTCTTCCAAAATGTGTCACATCAATCATTTACTCTAAGTTCTGGTGTATTGTTTATTTGTAGAGGAGACTTAAAAATAAAGTTGACTTAAATAATAACCGATGAGTGTATGGATGAATGGTTAACACTCTTCTCCTTTTAAGTGAGATACCAATAAAAAAATCGATTTAAATAATAAGAGAGATTAAACTTCATTTCTTTTGGTTAATTAAAAACTAAAAAAGAATTGAAGTTCAAGTATTTTTTTAAAGGTAACATATATTTAGTTGAGGGCTTTGAAATTGTGCTCTGATGGAAAAGAAAGAACAGAATTTTAATAGAGTTATGACTGTGAGTTTAAAAATTTGTATACTTTTTTAATCAAAAGAAATCACAAGGGCCTAATTAATTTGAATCTTCTATTCTAGTGCTTGTTGAAATTTCTAATATTTATTTAGAAGTGCTTCAGAGTAATATCTAATTTGTCAAAAAATTATTATTTTTTTATATATTTTTACCCTCTAAACTTACACCAAAAGAATAAAATGCGTGATTTTTTATCCAAAAAATAAATTATTTGATATAAATCAAATATAATTAAAAATAATTAAATATTTGATCTAGATCATATATAATTAAAAAAATAACCAAATTCATATCTAATTAAAAAAATAACAAAAAAAAAAATAATAAATATTTTATATCAAATATCAAATATTTTTCTAATTCTATAATTTTTATATATCAAATATTTTGTTTCATTATTTTCTAAATCAAACATAAAATAATGTAACTTTATATAATCATTGTTATATTTTTAAATATTTTTTCTTTACTAATTTTTAAATTTTAAAAAATATAAAATATAAAATATAAAATATTATTTTTTCAAAAAAAATGAGCTTTTTATTTCTTTTTGTACAAATTTAAGGTGTAAATTGTACAAAAAAATAATTTTTGAGCAAATTAGCGAATTTTATATTGCTACCAAGTTCAATGGGAAGATTAAATTTTATTTCCATTTCAATTAATCAAGGTGAAAGTATAAACAAATTCAATAGCATTTACTTTCAATTTTTTTTTCAATATCAATTGCAAAATTAATTCTACTTTTCATTTTGATAAGTAAAAGATTAAAAATGGATGATTCTTACTTTTCATTTTGATAAGTAAAAGATTAAAAATGGATGATTCTAAAATTATAAATTTATTAAATAATTTTATAAAGTTTATATTCAATTTTAAATGCGATCAGTATTTTTTTAAAATTCATTAGAAGCTTTTATGAGCAGAAATAACATTCCGAGCTATACAACTAGGGGTACCCCTACCCTTGACTAACGATATTGGTAAAAACAGTTGTAGTCAAGAGGATTCAAACTCGAAACTTTTTACTTCTCATATAAGAAAAAAGACCAATCAAGCCACCAATTGATTGACCATGACGGCCAATGCAGTCAGTATTTAAGTGGTCGTGATGTCATTGTCGATTTAAGTCAAGCAAAAGTATTATTTGGTTTACTTGACTCACATAGTTGTCATAATAACAAAGAAGTCTTTCTTTAATTTTAAGTCTTCCATTTGCATTATTTCTATAGAAAAACATATAACTCTCTAAATGCCTAAGTATGGGCCTACCGCTGACTAACAGCAGTAGCCCCAAATAAAAATTTGGAATAAATAGATTAGAGAGGAAAGAGGAGGAGAGAAACCCTTGAGTGTGCGCCAGTTGAATAATATTATGTAAATCTTCCACTTAATTCCTTTTTAAGTACAAAGTATGTCTTTAATCAAGCATAAAGAATACCGTTAATAAGTTGAAATATAATTTTATATTTTAAATCAACTTTAGACTTATGAAAATATACTCCCTCCGTTTCATTTTGTTTACATGATTTGACAAATCACGTATATTAAGAATTTAGTCAACAAAAGTTATTTTTTTCTTTTTAATCCTTAATTCATTTAGATATTAATAAATATCTTTCATTTAATGAAGAATCATAAATATTATCATGAAAAAAATAATTATTTACATATATAAATTTAAAAACTTGTAAATATTTTGGAATATCTAAAAAAAGAAAACAAGGAAACAAAATGGGACCGAGGGAAAAATTTGTTTGTGGTCTAGCTCAGGCAATCATATTATTTGGTTTATGGGCTTATTGTTGTAACAAAGTGTACTTTTCTAACAAAAAAGAAGTCTTCCTTTAACATTAAGTCTTGCAGAAAAAGACTTCAAAAATGTGATGTGTGATGTGTCACACCAAAGACTTCAAAAATGTGACTGTGTGATGTGTCACACCAACCCTATTACTATTAAGTTATGTTGTATTGTTTTCAAAAAACCTTGTATATTTGTTTGTTTGGTTTGTGGTCAAGCAATCCGGTAATCATTTGTTTATGGACTTATTGTTGCAAACAAAATGTGTAGGTTTTCCTAAACAAAAAAGAAGTCTTCCTTTATCGTTAAGTCTTGCATTTCAAACATTATTTCTATGGAAAAACACCGTAATTACCTTAATAATACCTATAATAGTTACCTAATAATAGGTTTATTTTGATTTTCCAAAAGCTGGTAGTAGCAAAAGTAAATACCTAATAATAGGTTTTAAATGAAAAGGAATATCAAGGCTACGGTTGTTTTTTAAAAGTAAGTACTGAAAAAATATTTTTAAAATTTTTCGACATTTGGAGTGTTCAGTAAAATCAGTCAATAGAAAATATTTTCTTGGCGAAAAAAAAAACTATATAAGTTTTTAAGAAAAATGACTTTTTGTTTTTAAGGGAGGAAAATATTTTCTGGACAATAATAAACTTATTATAATCTTATAAATATATATATAAATATATATTTTTTTAATTTATTAATCAATAGCAACCACTATCACTAGCCACTGATCACCATCCGCCATAATAATCGTGACGGCCAACATTGGTCACATCATGGATCATTGATCACTATCACTATTTATTATTTTTACGCGTTTCTTCTTATATTTTAATATTTTAATAATAACTTTTTAACGTTCCATGAAATTGTAAATATGACATTTACATTTTAAACTTATTAACTACTTGAAATACCAAAATATAATCGTACATGACAATTATAAATAACTTAAATAATGTTTCAGTTGAACACGATATAATAATTATTTATTTAAGGTTAACATATGAAAGATTAGGGGATATGTTATCTTTTTCAATAAATTATTATTTTATTACATGTACCATCATGTACCATATGATTGATTTTAGTTTTAGCCACTTAATTATAGTTTATATAAGCGGTTTATGGATCTCCTACCTCAGAAGAAGTTTTTTTGAGACGAAATCAAACTGGAAATTTTGTTAAGAGGAATCTATAAACATATGTGGAATACATATCAATAAATTTCTATATTTTAATAAACCACTCATATAAAAAATTAAAAAAGACAATCTTGATTTGAAGTATCTGATCAAGTTGACAGAGCATAATACATGTGTTGTAGGCGATCGCTCGCTCCACTTGGTGGCGATTCATGACTATTGTTCGACTTCATGGTTTTTTTACAAGTCTCAAGTCTGATATGATTATCTCAAAATTCTCCTTCTATTCTTCCTTCTATCAAAAAGGAGATCTACACTTTTTTCTACATAACTGTCCAAATAATAAAATACCATAAACAAAATCACCATTAAAAAACTCAGAAACTCTCAAACGACTAGATCTAAGAATAAAATCGTAAAAAATATGGGTAACAATAATCTCAAAATACAGGAAACAATAACTCATATCTGTATCACAAGACACAAATTTAAGGATTATTCGAAAAAAGATTATTCGAAAAAAGAAAAAAAAAAAGAAAGAAATAATGAACTTTGAAAAATCCTTTTGTAAGAAAGAAAAATATTTTCTATAACTTATTTTCTAGAAACAAACCGACTCCTATAAGTCCGGCCGGAGCCCACAGTTGAACACTTTTGGGACCAAGTTAAATCAAGCTAGGCTATTGAAATTGTAAGGAAACTTTCACTTGAGATGAGGCCAGCTACGTTTTGGGACCCAAATGGCCAAGAAGCCCATGACATATCGGACTTGAGCTAATTGCATAATACTCCACCTAATCCAATTTTTATTATCTAAATAAAAATAAAAAAAAGCTAAAACTACAAACTGGCTCTTATAATTAAAAAAAAAAAAAAAGTATTTTTTGGTTTTTCTGCTTCTCAAATTTTCTTTTTTTTTATTAAAAAATTTTGTGTTACATTTAATTAGCAAACTGAGGTTTATCATTACACTTTCTGTAGGGAATTCTAATGAAATACATATATTCTAATAAAATGCGGTACAATAATAATTAAATAGAATTTTAATATAAACATTATTTTCTGTTGTTATTACGATTTACTAAAACCGATTTAGTATTATTAGTGTCTATTAATATGGAATATATAACACTTTAGTAATGTGGCTTCTATTAATCTAATATAAGATATTGCACATTCAAACAATAGAAATGACTTATAATTTATAAAAA